ATTCGGTATCAGAGCCTACAGACCATTCCGGGGCGTGACGTTAACGCGTGAACATCGACGTCGTCGATTGGCTTGGGCACGTAGAGTTCGGCAGTGGCAGCCGCGGAACTGGCGCCGGGTACTCTTCAGTGACGAGAGCCGCTTCCAGTTGAACAAAGCTGATGGTCGGGTACGAGTCTACAGACGTCGGAACGAACGCACAGCACGTTGTTGCGTTCAGGAAGTTGAGACGTTTGGCGGCGGTAGTGTGATGGTGTGGGGGGAATTTGTGGCGAGAGGAAGACTGACTTGTTGGTGATAGAGGGAAACCTGAATGCCCGTCGATACATTGATGTTGTTTTACGACCTGTCGTGTTACCCTTCCTCCAGCAGAATCGAGGCGTGTTGTTTCAGCAGGATAACGCTACTCCCCACACTGCTGTTGTTACCCGGAACTTCCTGAACAACAACAACGTAAACGTCATTCCTTGGCCAGCAAGATCCCCGATTTATCACCTATTGAGCACCTATGGGATCATCTCGGCCGTCAGGTGAAGCAACGTCAACATCCCCACAGACAAGAAACGCTTTGGCTCAAGCTCTACAGGAAGAATGGCGTCGCATCCCACATCACGTGATCAGACGTCTTGTGCACTCTGCACGACGTCGTGTGGCAGCATGTATCGCTGCAAGAGGTGGACACACTCGCTACTGAGGAGTTGGACACTCAAAGACACTCTGTCAGTACTGATGTGCATGTGTTGTCATGATCGAAAACCGGACATTTGAACCTCCTGTGAAAACGTCACAAAAACTCTACTTACAGCAAATTGTTTCAATTGTTCTGTAATGACAGTCTGCATAATATGTTCAAAAATTATATCAAACATTTCAACATTGAATTGCACGTGTTTGTATCATTTTATGATACAAAAATGATCGGGGACGTTTCTTTTGCCCCTCAGTTTATATACACGAACCAGGGCTGAGATGTTGAGAAGTCGACTGTTCGACTGACAGACCATTCGAAATCGGTTGCGGGCTGCCAATCTCCATTCTCGACGTCCATATCGCGCAGAATCCCCAACCACGTGTTCACAAGCTTCAGGCAGTCGATGAGGAGACGGTGTTTGGTGTTTGGATGTTTGCAGACGGCTTGCAGAGGGAGGGAGCCAATGACCTGTAACAGCGGCAGTGTTGGGTCATAAAGGTCAACGTTCGTCAATGTAGGTCAGCTATGCTGATGACCCTGATGTCAAAAGAATCTAACTTTGGATGCCTACCTTTTGGTACAAGGATTTGTTTATTGGTTGTTGGTTTATTTTTCACCATTTTTAGCACGATGTTCTTTTTCATGCCAAGAGCAAAAGTTGTACGTTTCATGTAATCCGACACCTTATAAATCGGTTTGCTACGTTTGCTCTCTTTTTAAAAAAAATTCAACACATTTCTAATTAAACGTTTAGCATCATCTGAATAAGCTTTCATGATGACAGCTAGAAGTAGTCAATGTGAATGCTCCAAACGGTCTATCACTGTGCAGTGCACAGGTAACTATCATGAACTGCACGTGCATTTACCTTTATGACCCAACACTGCCGCTGTTACAGGTCACTGGCTCCCTCCCTCTGCAAGCCGTCTGCGTTCTGCTGTTTATTTTGTTGACAGTTACATAGACAGATTCTTTAATACAAATGCATAAAATCGGTGATTTACAATGTAATAGGGTTGTCTGACAAAACATCCACTTGCACAGTTTGAGATCGATTGGGTCATTGGATGAAGAGATATTTACAAAAACGGGTCCACATGCATTTCATGCCAAACTATAGTAATGTAACACGTAACGCTCCCTTAACTACCGGAGGTAAACAATTGCTCCCTGTGTACCCCAATGCATGATGGGACCATACGTCATCGGGCCACGCGCTTCCCGCCTAAGTTTGTATGCTTCAGCCGACCGAAATAAAGCCGCTGTTCTCCAAGTCCTGTTGTGTGCTTTTAGAAGAATGTTAGTCACGATACCACATTTTGGCGACGAGGATACAAGGTTATAAGGCAGTGGAATTTCGCATCCAGGTGCGAGAAAAACTCATCAGGAAATCTCCCGGGACCCTGATTGAAGAGAACGGAAAGCGCGTAAGTGAAAATCAAACAAAATGGCGGCGTTTGGGAAAGTAGAGGAATTTGATCCCGATAGTGACGATTGGGGCGAATATACTGAGAGATTGGGACATTATTTCACTGCAAATAGTATTGAAAATGCAGGAAAGCAAAGCGCAATTCTTTTGAGTGTGATTGGAACTAAATCTTATAAACTTTTGAGGAATCTGACCATACCGTCGAAACCGGGCGATCTCTCTTACGAGACAATAGTGAAGTTAATGAAGAATCACATTAGTCCAAGCGAACTGTCATGGTGGAGTGGCGACGCTTCGATATGAGAGACAGACTGCAGAATGAGAGTGTTTCGGCTTACGTAGCGGAACTGAGGCGCCTTGCGTCGACATGTGATTATCCAGATATTGAGGCACAACTCAGAGACAGATTGGTGTGTGGAATCAATAATGATCAAATGCAAAAGAGGCTTTTGACAGAAAAGACTTTAGATTATAATAAAGCCTATGCACTTAGTGTTGGAATGGAAATGGCAGCTAAAGAAGTTCAAACCAGTAAAGAAGAAACTCAACCACCTAGGACTGTGAATAAACCTTCTGTGCTTGGCAAAGTGTGACCGGTGTGGGGCATGTTTCACACAGGGTCACAGTGTTTCCATAGGAACAGTGACTGTCACAGGTGTGGAAGACGTGGTCACCTTTCGAGAGTTTGTCATTCTACACCGAATTACCCTTCACATCAGCGTGGGCGTGGGTTTAGAGGTAATCGTCGAGGTAGGGGACGTGGTCATGGTCAGCGTGGTCATTACAGTGGTCAGGGAAGAGGAATTCATGCTCGTCACATTGAAGAAGAGCCAGTTGAGGAAAAAGTTGAATATGAAATGTACAGAACTGAATGCAATCCAGACAGGAGACGATCAGTTAGAGCAGAACCCTACATGATCGAGGTAACTGTTAATGGGAAAAAGGTAACCTTAGAATTGGATACAGGGGCAGCTACCACGGTGATCAACGAACGAACATAAAACTCTCTGTGGAAGGAAAGGCCAGCTCTGAGAGAGGCAAAGGAAATTCTGAGGAGTTATAATAGGGAGACAATTCCGGTTCTTGGAACCACTGAAGTGGAAGTCTGCTATGGGCGTCAAACTGCAAGGTTACCCTTGACTGTTGTGGAAGGAGATAGAGAGAAACTCTTGGGCCAAGACTGGTTACAAGTGATCAAGATAGACTGGGGGGAGAATCATGAACATAAGGAATGAAGGTTTGCAGGACATTATAAAAACACATGAAGAAGTCTTTCAAGAAGATTTGGGAGAGCTCAAGGGACAGACAGTGCAGATACAGATAACAGCAGATGTGCCAAGATTTTACAAACATAGGAATGTGGCCTACGCATTGAGAGAAAAGGTAGAAAATGAACTTGATAGGTTGGAAAGGCAAGGAGTTATAAGACCTGTGCAGTTCTCAAAGTGGGCGGCACCTATTGTGCCCGTTGTCAAGAACAGTGGCAGAGTGAGAATATGTGGAGATTACAAACTCACTGTGAACAGAGTTGCGCAGGTAGATGTGTACCCAATACCCCGTATTGAAGATTTGTTTGCTTCACTATCAGGTGGTCAGAGTTTTACCAAACTTGACCTCAGTCAGGCATATCAGCAGTTGACGTTAGATGAAGAATCCAAGGAGCTCACAACTATAAACACTCACCGTGGACTGTACCAGTATCAACGTTTACCGTTTGGAATCTCTGCCGCTCCGGCTATTTTTTCAGCGTACAATCGAGTGTTTGTTGAAAGGCATTCCTCACGTCTGCGTTTACCTTGATGACATTCTGGTGACCGGAGACACTGAAGGTGAACATCTGGACAACATACGAGCTGTTCTAGACAGATTGAAGAAGGCTGGACTGCGACTCAACGGTCAGAAGTGCAAGTTTTTGGCCAAATCAGTGGAATATCTAGGACACCGAATCGACAAGGATGGGTTACATCCCCTGAATGAGAAGGTCGAAGCAGTTGTGTCGGTTCCAGCACCGCGTAACGTCAGTGAACTGAAATCTTTCTTAGGCTTGGTACAATATTACCAACGTTTTCTCCCAAACCTGTCCGTAACATTGGCACCCCTGCATCATCTCCTCGGAAAAGAAGTAAAATGGAAGTGGGAAAACCGAGAAGAGACAGCTTTCAACAAAGTGAAAGACCACTTGTCATCGTGTAAGCTTCTTACACATTATGACCAAAAAAAGAAGCTTCTCCTAGCCTGTGATGCCTCTCCATATGGCATAGGGGCGGTTCTGTCGCACATCATGGAAGACGGGATTGAACGACCTGTCGCATTTGCCTCTCGATCCTTGTCTCAAGCTGAGAATTATTCTCAACTAGACCGTGAAGCTCTGGCAATCATTTTTGGAACAATGAAATTCCATCCATATATATATGGAAGAACATTCACACTAGTGTCTGACCACAAACCTCTTGAGATCATTTTCTGTCCAGACAAGGCTATCTCACCAATGGCATCTAGCAGAATTCAACGCTGGGCTCTGACTTTATCAGCGTACAGCTACACCATTGAGTACAGGAAAGGAACAATATTAGCAAATGCAGACTGCATGAGTCGCCTTCCCTTGTCGAGGTCCGTTTGTGATCCACCGCTACCTGGAGACACAATTCTGCTGTTGTTGAGGCATCCCCAGTGAAGACACATCAGAACAAGTAGTGGACAGACAGAGACAGCACACTATCTCGTGTAAGATCACTTCTACTGTGTGGCTGGTCTGATGACATCACCTTAGGAGAAGAATTTCGTCCTTATGAGAAGAGGAAGAATGAACTGAGTGTACAATCTGAATGTATACTTTGGGGAAATCGTATTGTTGTGCCACCCCAGGGCCGACAACGAATGATGGACACTCTACATGAAGCTCACCCAGGCATAACACGTATGAAGTCGGTAGCACGCGGAATGGTGTGGTGGCCGAATATGGATCTTGATTTGGAAGAAAAGGTCAAGACATGTGAAATCTGTCAGCAGAGTCGTCCAGTTCCTCCCGAATCGACACTACATCCTTGGGAATGGCCAGAGAAACCATGGAGTCGTCTACACTTAGACTATGCAGGCCCGTTCCTTGGAAAGTTGTTCCTTGTTTGCATAGACGCTCATTCGAAGTGGTTAGAAGTTGTTCCACTTAACAGTTCGACATCGACTGTAACCATTGAGTGTCTGAGACGGATGTTTGCTACTCATGGGCTACCGGAGACAGTTGTCACAGATAATGGGACTTGTTTCACAAGTGACGAGTTCACGGTCTTCATGAAGAAAAATGGTATCCACCACCTCTGTGTCGCACCTTATCACCCAGCATCGGATGGCTTAGCAGAAAGGGCTGTTCAAACATTCAAGAATGGAATGAAGAGAATGACAGAAGGCAACATCGAGACAAGAATCTCCCGTTTTTTTGTTCAAGTACAGAATAACCCCACAAACTACGACCGGAGTCTCACCAGCTGAGCTACTGTTGGGTAGAAGACCAAGAACGCACTTGGATCTACTACACCCAGATATGAGTCGGCGAGTGCAACAGAAGCAAGAAAAGCAGAAAATAACCCATGATGTTCATGCCAAGTATCGTGAGATTCAAGTTTGTGATCTTGTGTATGTGTTAAATTTCCGCCCTGGTGGAAAGTGGTTACCTGGTGTTGCCGTAGAGCAAACAGGTCCTGTGTCATATAAAATCCGCCTAACAGAAGGTGGTGTTGTGCGTCGTCATCTCGACCATGTGAGGTTGAGATTGGAGATGAGTTGCGAGACGAAAGGAAGTGTGAAGACTGAGCCCATAGTGGTAAAGTCTGATGTGCCAAATGTTACAGAGGTGATAACCCCTCTTGTGCGAAAATCAATCTCAACCTGTGATGTCAGCCTTAGGTGATGATTCAATATCTAGGCCTGACCCGAAGGCCACACCAGAAGTTGAAACCCAGGTAGATAGTCCGCAGATCCCCAAATCTACAATGACTGGGCTGTCAGTGTCTGAGGGACTGCGTCGCTCAAGCCGTGTGACCAGAGCACCAGATAGACTAAATCTAAAGACTGAACTTGTTTAAAGGGAAGTGTATTGAACTCTAAAGTTACAAGTCATCATTGTAGTTTCAAGTACTACATATTCACATAATGTGGACTGGAAACAGTATTAGTCTTAGAGACATGTCAGAAGTAACAACAGTGTTCAAAAACATTTACATTTATTGAGATCAGCATATGTAAACTAGTTTTCATGCAGCCGAATGAATCAGTAGTGAAGTCTCAAGTTTCTACAGTTAAGTTTAAGTAGTTGTTTAAGTTACAATTGAGGTTATCATTAATAATGTCATTGCATCAGTAAGGTAACAGTAAAATGACCTTGACTAAATAAGAGCATGTACTTGTTTTAAAGATTATTAATCACAAGTATTGTTGAGATTTTGTTTATGGAAACAAAAAAATCTGGAGGGTGAGGTGTAGTAATGTAACACGTAACGCTCCCTTAACTACCGGAGGTTAACAATTGCTCCCTGTGTACCCCAATGCAAGATGGGACCATACGTCATCGGGCCACGCGCTTCCCGCCCAAGTTTGTATGCTTCTGCCGACCGAAATAAAGCCGCTGTTCTCCAAGTCGTGTCGTGTGCTTTTGGAAGAATGTTAGTCACGATACTACACAGCTGTTATTTGTTTACACATGTGGCAAGATACTAAAAATAGTGTCACCAACTCTTCGCTTCACATTCTATAGTTAACCAGATGGTGTAACCGAATAAGGAGCTTTATGAGGCTCCCGATAGGTGCAACTGTCATTCGATCTACGCCTGCTATATCTTTAGAATACAATGAATAATACCTACAACGTCCTGAAATATCTGTCAATATACATTGAAGTTTTGCAAGCGATTATATGAATGGTTTTGGTGCAGAAAGGAAGGGTATGCCAGAACCTATTAATGAGAAAAAGAAAACATTTGAGGTGTCAACTTAAGAATGTGGTCAGAATTTAACAATTTTATAACTCAAGTCCTTGGTAAAACGTATGAAATGTCAAACCATGATATTCTATTTTGTTGCAGTAGTAACCACTTACTCAACCACATGATACTATTGGCAAAGCGCCACATTTTCGTAATGAATATAAAAGGACACAAACCTAGCTTCACCATCTACAGAACATTATTAAAAGATATCTACGAGATAGAGAAATTTATCGAGAAGAAAAACGATAATATGAAACATTTTTTACAGAAAATGGAATGTCCTAGATGCACTCCTGTAATTTATTTTTTAGTCTTTTTATTCTCGGTAATATTAGCTAGCATCTCAATTGTTAATCTATATTCCCAGTACCATATGTTATACACTGTCTGCTTTTTATTATGCAACCTGTACCATTCTACTCCACCCACATATCTTGTTCAAATGTAACCAAGTAAAGTGAATAAAAATACTTTACAAAAAAACAACTTAAGAATGATGAAGCGCCCATAAAATGCTTACAAATAAATTAATTCATAATACTATTTACAATTAAGATTTATGAGCTAAAAGGTTTGCTCACTTGTTTCCTTTGATAAGAATGTTTATATAATATTTTCATGCATTTGTTTTTTTGTTTCATTTCCACCGAAATAGGAGACAGTTACAAGTCTATGGAATTCCTCTACAGAGTTCCAAAGAACACCATCAGCAAGCTAGTTCCTGAAGTTTGTAAGGCCATATACAGCACATTAAAGGAAGATTACATGAAGGTTAGTTGATTACTTAAATTGGAAATTCTACAGTTAGTTTCCTTTATGAAAGAGATGCCTGACAGTTTGTCAATTTTAACGAAAAACATGATAATGGAGAAGAAAGAAATTGGGTAATGAATTTTTTATTAGTTAAAGATATGTCGACAAAACAATGATACATCAATGATTATGAACAATAATTAAAAGAAGGAAATATGATAACAGATAAAAAGTATTGTCCTTGCCTCATTTATTTGTAAAAATATATTTTAATTATAAACAACAGTAATATAGTTCAACATAATAATGATATGAATTAAAAAATAAGTCATTCAAATACAGGGTAAAAATAATATTGGGGAACAGAACTTTATTACTCTCAGGCCGATATCATCAGCATATGAGGTACAAATGACAATACATTTTGTGGTGGAATAGTTAGCCGGAAGTTTTTACAATTTGCAAGATATATTTACAGAATTTACTGAGATGTTTTTTCATAACAGATATCTTTTTACATGTAAAGAGTGATTTAAATAAAAAAATAAATTTTAACATATTTGGTCTGATTATAAAGGAAGCTGGTATATACATTGATCTTTCTTTTCTAAACCAGAAACAGAAACTGCGCGCAAAAAAGAGAAAAAGAGGCTAGAGAGACTAAAGCAACTTGAGCAACTGCCAAACACAAAACCAAAGGCCACCTCTCCTTCAGAGGTCCCCGTCGAGGTCCATAACTCCTTTGGCCCTCTGGATATGGAGGTAACTCCATCTCCACCTGACACCAATAGGAGTTCATCAAACGCTTTCTCACCTTCACGTGACATGTCACCAGTGGAAGCACCATGAATCCACAAAACATGATCCAATGGAATTGCAGAGGACTTAAGAATAATTATAACGAATTACAGTTATTGATTCAAGACTTCAAACCATCCGCGTTTTGTCTCCAAGAAACCTACCTAAAAAGGACTGATAAATTTGACATCCGTGGGTACAGTTCCTACCACTCCTTTTCTCCTCCCGGTGTACAAGCTACAGGAGGCACTTCTATCCTGGTGAGGCTCCCTCCTCAAGATATTCAGAACTTGTATAATCAACTCCCAAAGCCCTGCATAATCATGGGCGACCTGAACAGCCATAACCCTCTATGGGGGAGTACAGATACCAATAATAAGGGAAAGGTCCTTGAAGATTTCCTCTCCAATAATGATCTATGCATCTTCAACGATGGATCAAACACCTATCTCCACCCTGCCACTGGAACATACTCTGCACTTGATCTATCACTTACGGATTCTAATTTCTTAAACGAGTTTGAATGGTCGGTCCACGATGACCTTTGTAGAAGTGACCACTTCCCAACTATTCTTACTCCTATCACTCTGTCAATTTTAACTCTGATAATGGTGAGGATTACAATGAAACTTTTTCTCTCCATGAACTACGTACTGCCCTGGGGCAAGCTCACGACACTACAGCAGGAGCTACTGATATTCATTATCAGCTTCTGAAACACCTTCCTGATTCAAGTTTGGAAACCCTACTGAATATATTTGATGACATTTGGACAACCGGCAACTTTCCTCCTTCGTGGCACAACGCCATTATCATCCCTATACCAAAACCTGGCCGGGATCATACCGATCCCTCAAACTACCGTCCTATATCACTAACTAGCTGTGTTTGTAAAACCATGGAGCGCATGGTCAACAATCGATTAATCTGGTACCTGGAGACCAATAACCTCCTTAGTGACCTCCAATGTGGTTTCCGAAAAAACCGAAGTACCATTGACAATCTGGTGCGTCTGGAATCTTTCATAAAAAATTCCATCGTCAACAAACAACATACTGTATCTATCTTCTTCGGTTTAGAAAAAGCATACGATACAACGTGGAAACATGGTATCTTAAAAGATTTACATGAATTTGGATTGAGGGGCAGATTACCTCAATTCATATCTCAGTTTTTAAACAACAGACAATTTCAAGTACGGGTAGGTTCCACATTGTCTGATTATTTCCACCAAGATCAGGGCGTCCCTCAAGGCAGCATCCTGTCTGTCACCCTTTTTAGCATCAAAATTAACAGCCTCACTAACGTCCTGAACAGTTGTGTTGATGGGTCCCTTTTCGTGGACGATTTCAATATTTCATGTCGTGGTAAGAACATGCACGCAATAGAAAGGCAGCTACAACTCTGCCTTAACAAAATCCAAAAATGGGCCAATGAAAATGGCTTTAAGTTTTCAAAATCCAAAACAAATTGTATTCACTTTTGTCGTAAATACAGACCACACAAGGATCCAGACCTATCTTTAGATGGTACTCCCATCAAGGTAGTAGAAGAGGCCAAATTCCTGGGACTCATATTCGACCGCCACCTGACATTCTTGCCACACATAAAATATTTGAAAACCAAGTGCTTGAAGGCTCTGGACTTACTAAAAGTCGTTTCAAATACAGAGTGGGAATGGGATCAGATTACCCTCCTTCACTTGTACAGATCTTTGGTTCGCTCTAAACTAGACTACGGCTCCATTGTTTATGGTGGAGCCTGCAAAAGCAATTTAGAAAAACTAGATTCTATCCACCACCAAGGCCTGAGGCTCTGCCTGGGAGCTTTTAGGACCTCTCCGGTAGACAGTCTATATGCAGAGGCTAACGAACCTTCCTTGAACAACGCCGCATTAAACTTTCACTGCAGTATATCACTAAACTACGTTCAAATCAGTCCAATCCAGCATACAATTGTGTTTTCAACCCTCTCTATGAAAACTTGTTTCCTAAACTGCCAAGCCTGGTTCCACCACTTGGAATCAGAATTCAACCACACATATCTGCAGCTAAAATTGATCTCAATAGCATAGCACCTTACCGACTCCTGTCTTCACCACCCTGGCAGATGGTGAAACCACAGGTCGATCTTACCCTCACTAAATTCAAAAAGTCTGAAACAAATCCCTTGGTGTTCCAGCAGGAATACATCCAGTTACGTTCCAAGTATGACACCCATAGATCCATTTTCACAGACGGATCCAAGGATGAGGGCCAAGTCGCCAGTGCTACAGTCATTGGATCTAAGACTGTCTCCTCTAGGATTCCCGACAACAGTTCCATTTTCACTGCCGAGGCCAAAGCTATCTTTTCAGCTTTGACCTATATTAAACAGCAGAATCATTCCAAAAAACTTCATCGTTTTCACAGATTCATTATCTTGCCTTCAAGCACTTCAAAATGTTACTTCAAGTCACCCAATCATTCTGGACATTTTGGAACTTTACAACGACCTCTCTACTGGCCAATGTGACATCGTCCTCTGCTGGTTGCCGGGTCACGTCGGCATAGCAGGTAACACAAAAGCCGATGCTGCAGCAAAAGCAGCTCTTGACAAGCCCTTATCTCCACTGCTGATCCCGTACAGTGATTTCAAACCCACTATCAAAAGCTATACTCGGGACCTCATGCAAAAAACGATGGGACACTCAAGTAGGAAGAAATAAACTGTATGAATTGAAACCAACAATTGGTTATACCTACTTGGGTTGTCAGTCAAGACGTGATGAGGTAATTTTACGACGATGTCGTATTGGCCACAGTCGATTTACTCATGACTATCTGCTGAAAACGGATGGGGATGGACCCCCCATGTGTGTCTCTTGCGATGAGGTTTTCACCATCAAGCATATTCTGCTTGAATGCGTGGACTTATCGTCTGCAAGGGACTCACATTATGATGCAACAAACCTAAAAGATCTGTTCTCCCGCGTGAGCGCTCATCTGATAGTGAACTACCTGAGGGAAGTTGATCTGTATCATAAATTGTAACTGTGAAATGTAACTATCATAAATTGTAACTGTGAAATGTGACTAACAAATTGCCTGCCTTTAAATTTGATGCTATTACTTTTTCTGCTTTTAAATGACAATGTAATGAATATATGTTTTTGAAATAAAACTCATTCCGAGTATGTACTTACAATGTTTATTAATGCAAACTTGTTCTCGTCACTATATGGCTGGAATAATGCCGATGTGACGCAAAACCAACTCAACTCAACATTGTCAATGTGTTTTAATTAATATATCCCCACATTTCACAACCGTACAGCAAGATTGGTTTCACCATTGAATCAAAGAGATATAGTTGACATTGTATTGATAAGTCTAACATTCGACTTCTGCGTAAAAAAAAACAATACATGACTTTAGTAGCTTATTGACAGAGATTTGATTAAGATAATTTGAAAGAACATTTTCTATCAATAACAACTCCAAGATATTTACACACAATAACGGTTTTCTTTAGTTGAACCTAACTTGTTAAAATATCCAGTTGGGACATTCCCATTTATATATGGTTGTTGCCCTAATTAATTCCTAGTCCAGTGTCTGACAATTGGGACGTCTAACTAATCATGTGAAATCAAACAACTTTTCCTGGATTCAATACAGGATTTACTTTGGTATTCAGTCAATGATAATCAGAGTTTATCATTATTCTTCATTTTGATATTCAAATTTCAATTGTTGAATTTTGAATTTTAATTCACGCCTTTTGCGGACATCACTGATGTCGGTGCTGCAGCCTCTTCACTTGTAACTTCAGTTTCCTGTAAAGAAATTTTATATTTTATTTCTCAGATTTCACACACAGAAACAGAGTGGAAGATCATCATTGATGAGTTTGAGGACAAGTGGCAGTTTCCCCACTGTATCGGGGCTCTGGACGGGAAGCACATATCTATCAGGGCTCCTAAAAGCAATCAGCAATATTCCAGATATATGGCGTCAGTCTGTAAATAATCAAGACTGGACAATCCAGTGATCAACATCGATGTATTGGGATATGATGACATGTGTCAACCAAGCCAGTGAGCCTGACCAGTCACCTCTGATCCTGTTAGTCACCTCTTACGGCAAGCAAAGGTTACTGAACCTGCTGAAGACCAATTCTAACCCGGATCTTCACAGGCCTAATAGATATAACATGAAATGTTTTGACACATCTTACCAACAACATAGACTGTCTTGTTTGCGCTGTAGTCTTCATTTAGGACAGAACACCTGAACTGTCTCCCGTTGTCTTCATCTGAGACTGTATGTACCAGTGTTGACGCCCCTGTATACTGACATTCATCTGACGACAAAGGACTGTCGTAGGTGATGTTTTGGTCGTTGAGGTACGATGTCCAGGTGGTGAACTCGTTGTCTACAGATCGCCATTGCCATGTCCACAGGTTCTGGAGGTTGTTCTCATCAAACTGGTTCCCGATCCTTCCTGTACATCTCATTGACAAGAGCTGACCTTCATCATACCGGAGACTGACAGGAGTTGGGAACATCTCTATCTGTTCTGGGTAGGCTGAAAGACAGAAATGAATAGAGGATCAAATCAATCATTTCAGTGCTCGACTAAAAATGAGGAATGGTTTGTTTGTTATTTGTAACTGTGATAATCCGGCAATATACCATATACACACCAGTCTTATCACAACTGCTTGTAAATAATCATGTCATGTCAAATACGCCTCTGAGTCAGACCACTGATACATTTGATGGCCTTTTATGATAAGCAAAATTTCCCTGTGGTCAATATTACCCTTTCACAACCTTAAAGACCCTATTCTCCCCAGTTCCAATGTGTACAAAGATGTAGGCCAAGTTTCAGTCAAAACTTTGTTACACATAGGTATTCAAGCCACCAATTTTACTTCTTACTTCTGGCTGTGATGCTGACTGTTGTCTCGTCATTTCTAGCTGACCCCGCCATGTATGACGTGGTGCAGTAGTATGTAGAAGCAGCATCAGCACATATCAGATCTGTCAGGATGAACTGTATATAGCCTGTTGCTCCACTGATAAAACCCGAGGCTGTCATCCGTTGTTGTAGCCTTGTGTCCACTACTTGTACTGACGTATCTGTGTTGGTCAATCGTATTATAGGCTGATCAGAGCCAGTAGAGGACTTCTTGCCGATCTCTATGGTAAACACCTGTGTTATCCCAGGTGCATTTGGGCTACAACGTGCAGTCAACTGAGATGTTGGGTTACTGCTCCCAATTGTTATTTGACGCTGTGATACGGTCAGGCTTGCCCCGATGACTGGAACAAAAAGACAAAACTCAGTAGCGTACAGGTGAGGTGAGGTGAAATTGGGTTAACGTCGTGCTTGAGAATATTTCGCTCATATGACGACGTGCATGCGTGTGTATGTGCGGCTGCTTGTACTAGCCCAGACTGAAGCTGGTTTTATAGTGCTGGCCCACTGAGATACCATGAGCTGCAGTGAAGCATGAATACCCCACTCAGACACATTATACTGACTCCGAGCCGACCAGTCCTTGTTGTACCCATTAATGCCGAGTACCAACAAGTACCATATTTTAACCTCTTTTGGTATGACGCGGTCGGGGATCGAACCCGCGACCTTCCGCTCACCGGGCGGACGCTCTAACCACTACACCACGGAGGCGGTCAGTAGCGTACAGACTGAAGACAGGCTTTACATAATTAGAGGGCATAATGGCCTTCACTACTAATCTTTTCTACCACTACTTAAATTAACATGGTTCACACATTCAAGTTCCTTCCCAGTATCATTCCACCATTGTAGTATTTTGTACCCATGTGGGGAATTGAACCTGGGTCTTCGGCGTGACGAGTGAACGCTTTAACCACTAGGCCGCTTCAACACGCCTCACAGTTAACATGACTAAAAGTATATACACTTGTATGAGGGCTACCATATCTACAATAACATTTCTATCACAGTTTGTTGCTTTCCATGTCTTACTTCAGCATAGTGAAAACAAATCAGTTCATGGCAATACTTGAAGCCCCTGTAAACTCTGTATTGAGTGAACGCTTTAACCACTAGGCCATCCCACCGCCCTTTGTCCAGTGTGAACAAATATATACTACTCAAAAGAAGTCAAGGACACCCTTTCTTTCATACTGCTATTGTTAATCTGTTTCGTGTTCTTTAACATCTTTTGAGACCGCATATCTTTTGAAACAAATTGATCAAACGGTCTGTTTTCAACATATGCTGTTTTATTAAAACTATTTCGAACCTCAGATTTCAGTAGAACAATTTAACTCGATACTCTGATTTTTTTGTCATGTCCATGAATTCATGAATAACGTTTCATCGTATACAAATGCCTACAATTTCACTGTTATAAACTTTGGTCGGGTTACGCGTTGCATATGTGCTCGCGGGACGAAGAACACCCCAGTAAACATGTTGTCATGCTCGTTTTGGATCCGATGACATATATGCATCCATCCCAATGACGGACTATACACTGTCTAGCACGTTGTACCAGATTTCACTAGACGACAGGTCACAAGTTGTCAAATTTGAACGCTCTCTTACAACAAACATTATTTATTTATTTATTTATTTTTTATTTTATTTTTTTTATTTTTATTTATTTATTTATTTATTCTAATGTGTCAGTATACTATAAGTATCACATGACTCTTTTAGCAAAGTCTACAAGAAATCACAGACTCGTGTTATTCATAAATGCAAAGTATGTAACCGCCATACCACGCGAAGCCATTTGACACAGTATTCAAACCCAACGTCTCGTTGGTATCTTGTGTCCCCGAACTATTTCAAAATGTCCGCAATTCGCGATACAACTACAGGTGTATAATGCTCTAGCAACACAGGTGGTGACTTACCTGATTCCAAAACGAACGCTGTAACATATCCAAGACGCCATTTCGGCATATGTCACCGCGATATCACGAATATTTAGCTTTTAAAACGCCGCGTTCAAGTCTCTTCCAAGTGGCACTCAACTGCTGCACACCCGTCCGTGACCTCTATTGGCGGAAGAATATCTCAGGTAAATCGCAAAGACCCTCAGGTAATTATCACTCCACTTCGTCCCCAAGTCCTGTTAGACTGCTAATGGCCACTGATTGATGGCCAAGGAGGATTAAAACAGATTATGAAATGCAGTTTAGGAAAATTCCACGCGCTTATTCCCCACGCGGAGTGACACGCATGGGTTGCTGAAGAATGTTACCCAGATGATCACGGGACACAAATCCCTTATGCGTCGAGGCAAACTTAAAAAGTTATCCATACAAAGTAAGTTTGTGTTCAACAACAAACAAAGTTTCACGTCTTCCTGTTCGACAAACCGTGACCTCATTTTATCTATATTTAAAACATCGCCTTTAAATTTTTGAATAATGTTGTCATTACTTCGCTGGAGTAGGGACGATGGGGTAGTCTAGTGGTTAAGGCGTTCGATCGTCACGCTGAAGAACCTGTTTCGATTCCCCACATGGGTACAATGTGTGAAGCCCATTTCTGTTGCCCCCGTGATATTGCTGGAATATTGCTAAAAGCGGCGTAAAACTAAACTCAGATGCGCGTATATCGTTGTTCGCGTATAATTGTTCTTCGGCAACAATGGCCGACCTTTTGTGGGAGCGATAGTGAAGATGACGCTCTTGAATTAGCGGTAATCGGCATGCTCGCCAGTTTACAACCCGAAAAAACAAAGACGTCTTGTTGGGTACGCCCCTGGATTGCAAATTACAAATTTACTTATGTAGATGTTGGCTCAAATGGGAGAGTTAGTGATGCAGGAATATTTGCCAATTCTACATTACACCATGCTCTTGAATCAAACACTTTGAATGTTAGAGGTCCATCCCCCTTAGAGGGAAGATAAGAGTCAGTTCCCTATGTCATTGTTGGGGATGATGCATTTCCACATAAACCATATATCATGAAGCCTTTCCCTTTCAGGGATATGAGTGATGACAAAACAATATTCAATTACAGGTTATCACGAGCACGAAGGGTCTCTGAAAATGCTTTTGTCATTCTGACCAGTAGATTTGGTGTCTTTTAGAGAAGTCTGGGTGTTGACAATAACACAGGCCAATTGATTGTTGTCGCATGTGTGGCGCTCCATAACTTCCTTCGCAATGTATCGATATATGGTAGGTTATCGGCTTGTGTCAGAACATTTCATGGTCTTTCCAGTTATTTTGATTGTCGTATAGGTACTAGACATGGCTGCATCCTCAGCCCTCAATTGTTTATTATCTTTATTTATCAGCTTATGGAAAGTACGGAGCAATTTGGTGGCCGTGGTATATTCATTACACCTGATGTAAATAATATATATGCTCTAATGTTTGCGGATGATGTTTCCTCAGTCTCGGATACTGCTTTCCAGCTTCAGAAGAAGATTCATGGTCTTGAGAATTTTCGTCAACTTGCTGGCATGGTCTATATTGATACGACTGAAGTTATTGTTTTCAGGAATAGTGGGCCCCTTAGATATACCAATGTCCCTTGTGATTCGGGATTTTGTCCTTTTTGCAAAAACATGAATCTTAATTTCATTTAAGATGAAATACATGTTTTACTTTATTGTAAAGCCTACCTAGAAATAAGGAATAAATTTGTGGATAAAAATTTGAAACACTCTCTATCACAACACAGTTTTGTCAACATAATGTATTCAACAAACATAAATATTATAAATAATTTAAATAAAAAAATCTGATGTTTTTTCTGTAAAGCGCATGTAACTTCATGCAAAATATATGTCTATAGATGTATTTTGGGCCTGTGGCCTATTACTGAATAAAATGTCTGTCTGTCTGTCAATACTGTGATAAAATTTAAACATGTCATTCAATATACATGTGTTAAAATACCCTAAATTTTATGTACATCATATGTTTCCTCCAAACAAACTCAATGCAAAACAATAAATTTTTGATACATTTGCATATGATGTTTTGTTTTTGGTGTATATAACATGGGATATTTCATAAAATATCTTCCTACTCCCGTGTGGTAATTTGGTCACAAATTGTACAAATGAGTGAACATGTATTTTACAAACATGATCAATTATTAACATGGCTGTTGACAAGTTTCAATTACCAAATGTCAAAATACTTAAAATGCCAGCTTTTGTAACTGTATTCACATTGTGATTACAATAATTCGTTTTTACCACACATTGGGACCCTCATTGAAATGTAGGTCACAATTTGACAGCATGTCAAAAAACGCATGTACTCTTGCAACTGCTGCGCCAGTATTTAAGACTGTACACTCAGCGATATTCCAGCTATATGGTGGGAGCCTGTGTTATCGAGTCTGGGCCAGACAATCCCGTGATCCGAAGCATGAGCATCCGTCTGGGAACCAATGGCATGGCTCAACCAAGTCAGCGATCCTGACCCACCGATCACGTTAGTCGCCACTTACGACAAGCACGGGTTACTGAAGGCACATTCTAACCCGGATCTTCACGGGACCAGACAATCCCTCTGAACAACAGTGCAAACCATGATCTACACAATTGGCCTACAATGATGTGTGTGTCGGGCAAATGAGTGAGTGTAACCACCCGAACCTGATAGTCGCCTCTAACAACAAGCATGGGTTACTGCATACAAAACCAAACCTAGGTCTTAATTAGAAATAATTTCGTTAGCGCCTCGCTCAGCAATATTGCAGCTAACCTGAGGCGGTCCTTGAACAAGAAGTACGGACCAGCGCCGCTATAGTCATACAACCTGTTATCGCTGATGATGGCAAGCACAGGCTAATGCAGGCTAGTACTGTAACTGGCCTGCGTCGCGTAGGTGAGCTGAAATGAGATGACACAGAAATGACCATTTTAGGTTAATGCCTGCACCGCGTGACGGGACCCGTACACCGCAGGGAATTTAGGCGATAATCAATGGACAATTACGCCAGTAAGGCCTGATTTAGGGAGTGGAAGAACACTCGCATGCCCTGCCCGTTCAGGTGAACTTTGTCTCTGGCACTGATGTGGGTGTCGGTGATGTCAGGGTGCTGAGCCACTTCCCTCCCAGTTCCCGCACAACATTGGCAACGCGCCTGTTAAGTTTGCGCCGCTTGATATCTATGGCCCGCGGGTTCTGGGCCCCCTCCATGCTAGCCTGGGCAGCATGCATGACCATATGATTGTGGCTTTTGACACCTAAGATGCAGGTAGAGTAAATTGTGATATATAGTATCAAAGAGCAGTTTAGCTGGTGTCATTTCATGGTCTTTCCAGTTATTTTGATTGTCGTATAGGTACTAGACATGGCTGCATCCTCAGCCCTCAATTGTTTATTATCTTTATTTATCAGCTTATGGAAAGTACGGAGCAATTTGGTGGCCGTGGTATATTCATTACACCTGATGTAAATAATATATATGCTCTAATGTTTGCGGATGATGTTTCCTCAGTCTCGGATACTGCTTTCCAGCTTCAGAAGAAGATTCATGGTCTTGAGAATTTTCGTCAACTTGCTGGCATGAAGGTCTATATTGATACGACTGAAGTTATTGTTTTCAGGAATAGTGGGCCCCTTAGATATACCAATGTCCCTTGTGATTCGGGATTTTGTCCTTTTTGCAAAAACATGAATCTTAATTTCATTGAAGATGAAATACATGTTTTACTTTATTGTAAAGCCTACCTAGAAATAAGGAATAAATTTGTGGATAAAAATTTGAAACACCCTCTATCACAACACAGTTTTGTCAACATAATGTATTCAACAAACATAAATATTATAAATAATTTAAATAAAAATCTGATGTTTTTCTGTAAAGCGCATGTAACTTTCATGCAAAATATATGTCTATAGATGTATTTTGGGCCTGTGGCCTATTACTGAATAAAATGTCTGTCTGTCTGTCAATACTGTGATAAAATTTAAACATGTCATTCAATATACATGTGTTAAAATACCCTAAATTTTATGTACATCATATGTTTCCTCCAAACAAACTCAATGCAAAACAATACATTTTTGATACATTTGCATATGATGTTTTGTTTTGGGTGTATATAACATGGGATATTTCATAAAATATCTTCCTTCTCCCGTGTGGTAATTTGGTCACAAATTGTACAAATGAGTAAACATGTATTTTACAAACATGATCAATTATTAACATGGCTGTTGACAAGTTTCAATTACCAAATGTCAAAATACTTAAAATGCCAGCTTTTGTAACTGTATTCACATTGTGATTACAATAATTCGTTTTTACCACACATTGGGACCCTCATTGAAATGTAGGTCACAATTTGACAGCATGTCAAAAAACGCATGTACTCTTGCAACTGCTGCGCCAGTATTTAAGACTGTACACTCAGCGATATTCCAGCTATATGGTGGGAGCCTGTAAGTTATCGAGTCTGGGCCAGACAATCCCGTGATCCGAAGCATGAGCATCCGTCTGGGAACCAATTGCATGGCTCAACCAAGTCAGCGAGCCTGACCCACCGATCCCGTTAGTCGCCACTTACGACAAGCACGGGTTACTGAAGGCACATTCTAACCCGGATCTTCACGGGACCAGACAATCCCTCTGAACAACAGTGCAAACCATGATCTACACAATTGGCCTACAATGATGTGTGTCGGGCAAATGAGTGAGTGTAACCACCCGAACCTGATAGTCGCCTCTAACAACAAGCATGGGTTACTGCATACAAACCAAACCTAGGTCTTAATTAGAAATAATTTCGTTAGCGCCTCGCTCAGCAATATTGCAGCTAACCTGAGGCGGTCCTTGAACAAGAAGTACGGACCAGCGCCGCTATAGTCATACAACCTGTTATCGCTGATGATGGCAAGCACAGGCTAATGCAGGCTAGTACTGTAACTGGCCTGCGTCGCGTAGGTGAGCTGAAATGAGATGACACAGAAATGACCATTTTAGGTTAATGCCTGCACCGCGTGACGGGACTCGTACACCGCAGGGAATTTAGGCGATAATCAATGGA